TCGCTTGCAGCAAATGAGAAATGCATGACTTCAGGCAATGATGAGAATATTCATATTTTATCTTGTGGGACAGCATCTATGCAAATTATCAGTGCTGAGAAGTATTTAGCAATGCTGAAACTAGTATGTATACCAAGATGAAGATGTGATGAATAATGTAGACAGATCAGCAAAGCCTGGAGCCAGGAGACCATAGGAATGGTGAGGACAAGCTGAGGGCGGAACCAGAGGCAACAGGGTGAATCATAAAGTCCAAGTTAGGTTGAGTAGGACGATCAGATCCTAAAGGAAAATCCTTCATGAATGGAAGAAAAATAAGGTGAAAGAAACAGAAAAGCATAGATAAGAGGTTTGACAGATGATACTACAATGTGAAAAAAGCCTGTTTCAGTGACCATTCAGATGTGGGTTTTAATTCTTGTATCCCCACTTTATGAGTCTCACAGCTTCTTAAATTCAATTAACCACTTGGAGCCTTGGAGGATTTGTAAAATAGAGTAACATTCACCTCCTAGAGTTATCAGAATTAGAGATTATATATTTATATAGATACAGTACTTGCATCATCTAGCAGGCATCAAATAAATGATGACTGCCATGCATATGATTATTTATTTGTGAATTTCTACAAGCTTTAAACACAGTAACAGTCAGCCAGGAGCTGATGAATGAAATCATTATTCATAACACCTTGCTTCAGCCGACAATAAATCTGTACTTAATATTTAAAACTTATTATTTATTCACTGAACGAAGTAAACTTTTATATGTAAAAGTCTGAGCTAGCTGCCAAAACCATGCATACACCATGTTACAGGTTTTAATCAATTATCTCTCTTTATTTTAAACTGTATTTTAAAAAATTGTTACTAAATACAAGTTTTCTTCATTTATATATGATACTACACTGATTTGCCTGTCTTTTTTTGTTCTCCTAAATTGCCTTTTTATTGAACCAACCCTTTGTTCTGGCACCATATTAATACATCTTTTAGTCTATTTATATATGTGACATCTTAGATTGACTTTTTATTTCAAGTTTCTTCCTGGGAAAGACAATGAGCACAGTGAGCATACTTAATAAATGTTACATAATAATAACTATTAAATGTTCTCTTAAAATCTCAAGCAGCTTTTTATCTTTAGCTTTTACTTTGAGATAATTATATACTTCCCAAAAGCTATTTATAGCTCCCATCGGGAAGAACAGCTGAAAAAAAATGTGTTCCCAGTCCTGCCAAAATTATAATGAAAGTGATTTAAACTCTGAATTTCTGTTGCAAGTGTTCAAATGACATTCAACATATAGATGTCAAATTCTAGCAATTTAAAACTTTTCCCATTCAAAACCTCCTTGATGCTATTTTGTCCATATCACCATCATAATTCATTTATAAACAAACTGAGATTAACAAAAAAGTTAAAGAAACATACCTTTTATTTGCTGTTATCAGTCTATCTGTATTTGTGCTCCTCCAGGTATACCATGAGCTATCTCCTCCCTTTACCCTTTGAAGCCTGAACCCCAGTATAGTTAGTCAAGATCACAAAATATAGTCACAGATCAGCTTTATAAATAAGAGAAACAGAGGACCTCCTCTATAACACAATTTATACCTCACAGGGTCAAAAAATTATGTACATACATGCATCATTCTTAGGGTTGCCAGGTTTAGAAAATAAAAATTTAGCAGCCCTATCCACTCTACACACTTGTCCCCCAAACTGGCCCTGATGCAGTGTCAGAAAACCCCCACATTACCTTCTCCCACAAATCAAAGAAACTGGTTTGTATAATAGGCAGGTCACTGGACTTGGAGACTAAAGATCTGGGAACTGGCCTCAGATCTTGCCACTTAGAACCTACTTGGTTTGGGTAAGTCCATTATGATTTTTATCACCAAGATTCTATCATCAAAAGTCCATTTCCAGACTTTTGAGAACCACTACTCTTAAAAGTCTAGCAGGTGCTGGGGAAACAATAAATTACAAGCACAGAAAAATGTGAACTTGGGTGAAAAATGGGGCTAGAAATCAAGACCTAGCTGATGTGGGGTTTTTTGGGGGGGCTGAAGGGAAGTTGTCATCACATCTCTGTGAGATTACAATGCTTCCCACATTGTGGGGTTTTTTTTGGGGGGGGGGGTAAGGGGGAGCTGTCATCACATCTGTCAGATTACAATGCTTCCCACACACTGGGAAACAGCAATTCCTGGCCTTGTCACATTGACCTGCCATACATATTCCTTTGCCCATAAGTTCAGCTGTTTTTTAGTGGTTGAGCTTGGGGGAGGAACTAAAAAAAAAATTATTTTCTTAAAAATGTAAACATTCTGTTCTATTCATAAAAATGTACCTATTAGGTATCTATTTCCAGACTTTTGAGAACCACTACTCTCTGTGAGATACTTTCCAGATCATTTTCTGACAGTAAAATCTCACTGACTTGAAGTAAAATGGAAAGAAATCTAAAGTTGGGAGCTGTCAAGCTGTATTTGAATCCCAGCTCTACCTTCTCATCGCTGCAAGAATTTGAGCAAGTCATTTAATTGCTCTAAAACTGTTTGTTCATCTGCCTATTAGTGTATAATGTTTTTGAAAACCTCTAACAGAGGTACTGTCACAGAACAGATGGTAAGATAAATTATAGAATTAAAACTATTTTTCCATCATTTTCGAAACTATATAATAAATTACAGTAACAGAGTTTTTTGGTACAGCTTTTGGTTTCTTTTGTATATTCAATTGATTAAGCAATTCTAATTACTTTACCAATCATAAGTTAATGGGTATCTTTAAACACTGCCATTTTATGTCAGGCTGAATGAGTTCTGGTGATACAGCAGGAGTATCGAAGCTGACATAAGGGCTCTGGGGCTTCTGACTTCATCACCTTGACCTCTTCTCCCAAGTGGTCTTGGCTATTATAGATAAAGCCCAATAATTCAGACAAATCATTATATAATTGAACCACAATTATGCAATAGGGTGATGACCTTTCCAAAAGGGGTTCTGGGATCTATGCAGTTTAAAGTAAGCTCCTGGATGTTGAAATGTCCTTAAAATTCCAGCTACAGTCGGCAAATTCCATGAAGGTTCTATGATATCAGAAATGGTGTGCCCAAGGCTCCCAGGGGCTTGACAGCCTGTTTCTTGACTTGGCCAAATATAGTTAATGACTTGAAACTAAGAACAAACCAACATGTTTTGTGTATAGGTTTTGCTGCTATTATTATTTATTATATAATGCATGGAGACTCATCATCACCCCGTATGATGCTTAGTAAGCTCTTCTGACTAGCGACTCAGGTCAGTAGTCAGAGGATAGATAATAGAAGCAAGATCACCTAGAAAAATATGAACTTTGGCATTAGGCCTAGGTTTGAATCCAAGCTATGCCTGAAAAAGTTACTTAGTCTCTTGGGAACATAGATTCCTCAGCTGGAAAGAGGAGAAAACACTGTGAATAAGTATATTTTGACTATAACAAGTGGCTTAAAAATGGCACTCATCATTACTATTATAAAAATTTGCATGCTTTTATGCTGAGAGTTAATCATGTTAAGACTATAAATGCTTTCAAATTCCTTAAAAGGCATCATCTGATCAATTATTATTCTTTTGAGACATTTCAAAATGGATACAGAGAAAACCAAGGATAAATATTGTGCCCTGTGACTACATGAATCTGAATATAATGTAATCAGAATGTGTATCCTGTTCTCTGCAACAAACTTATCTTAGGCATTTTATTAACCTTGACACAGATTTATATGATGAGAAAAAAAATCGTTAGCAACTGAAACACATAGATTATAAAGGTTGTTTTATTTTCTTATTGAATTTTTTGGACTATCACTACAGCATCATAGAAGAATTTTATTATATATTAAATTTGGATATCATCATTGTGATCTAAGTGTTGTTGTGAGCACATTTCATAGATATGATTAAAGTCCATAATCAGTTCACATTAAGGGACATTATCCTAGATAATCTGGGTAGGCCTGATTCAACCAGTTGAAAGGCCTTAAAAGCAAAACTGAGGCTTCTTTGAGGAAGAAGAAATTCCATCCATGGACAGCAGTTTAAGATTGTACTGCGATTTCCAGCCTGCTCTACCTGATGTCCTGCCCTTTGTGTTTCAGATTTGCCTAGCTGGCCCCACAATCGTGTAAGCTAAATCTTGCAATAAATCTCTTAATAAATATCTTCTACTGGTTCTGCTTCTCTGATTAAACACTGATATAGCCAGGAAATTTTTCTTTTTTCTTTTTGCATTAATCTGACTGCATCTTGAGATTTAAGGTAGAAACTGCTCCTAAAGGTTCTTTTTATTATGAAGGAGTGTAGTTCATTATTTTCATGATAGATGTGAAAATGCTTTTAGTTCAACATGTTCCTCTATTTTGCTATATCTTTCTTACCTTTCCATTTCAGAAAGAACTGTCAAATGTAGATTCAATGACAACCTTCTTTAATAGCTTAAAAAAGAAGAAATATATTTAGCTATTGCATATGAGTGAAAAAGAAAATAAAACCCTACGTCTAATTGACAAAAAAAACTGAAACTCTTATATACAAATAAATATTTCCTATGGATTTAAAAGTGGATTTAGATTGGCACTGGATTTTAGAAATAGAAGCACAGTATGAAGTCATTTTGTCAAAATAGGAGCAGACGCTGTCATTGCTTTGCCAAGTGACAATCTAATTTTAAATGACTCAGTAGTAAAATTTTCATAACTATTCTAGACAGAATTTCTTAAAACTGTTTCTAAATACTAATGATCTCTTGCCAAGTTTCATTTCATCCTTAATTACCCTGAGAACTTCTAAAACTAGAATACAGTTACACACACATAGGCTTTGAGAGCTCATTTGAAAATAAGAACCCCAAAAAAGTAGGGTTTGAAACTAAACTCAGATTTTAATTTAACAGAAAGTATTATTCATGACAAATTTTTTAAAAATAAGATGAAGTAGTCCTTTAAACTAAATTCCAATTTTAGAAATGTTAAATATTTATTTATTTTGTTACTGGGAGTATTTTTCCTGGTTCTAAGAAGAATATACACAAATAACCACACTTTTTGATTTCTGAATATTAACAATCCAAAATTCAAAGTAGTTTCTTTTCCCATACAGGTCAGGTACTATTGTAAAATAAATTAATTTTAATTACAAAGTACTAGTACCAATATATAGTAAATGTATTACCATTTCCTGTAATAACAAACATGTGCTTTTATAATTTTATTATAAAACTGAGTTTTCAATGAAGGCAATTTAGCAGGACTATGGTTGAGAAAATGAATTTGAATTAAGCAGTCCTTTAAACTTAAACTGAAAAATCATGGCAGAATAAAATGTCAAGCAAGTGAAAAAATTTTCTATGATATATACATAAACATTTCACGTAAACAAAAGCAAAGATCAAGAAAAAATTAAATAATTTTGTTAACAACCAAAATATATGGATTAAAAGGGTCGTTTTATTTTCTTCATGCTTCCACTGAACACAACTGGCATAAGCAGAGCAACAGGTGTTAGACGAATCTTTACATTCCCCTCATACTCTTCAGGAGTTTACATACAATAAAGATATCTCTCTAGGAGAAAAGAAGACGTTAGAGGAATTAGACTCCAGAAAGCCATGACTTTCAAATATTAAGTCACTCTTTTTGCTCTACTGTGAAATGAGATAGTTTATCAGAATTTTGCCAGTTGAAAGAAGGTAAAGCTAACACTGGCAAGATCCAGCACTAACACACGTGGCAGCAAATCAGGCACAATGATACATAGATTTTCCTCTGGATATGGATTATCCATGCACTAAGAGATAATGGATTCCAACACAAAACAAACATTTTTGGATAAAACAGACAATATCGAAATGGGTATATTTTCAACAGGAGTGTTTTTTAAGTGTGCCCCAGGGCTCACCTGCATCAGGCAGAGTGCTCCACAAAATAAAAGTATGCATTCCTGAGCCCAACCCCAGATTCTCTGGGGGCCCTGGGCATCTGCATTGTTAAGAAGCGCCCCCATGGAAATACTTAGAAACATATTCCTATTAAAGTTTGAATATCGCTACTTCAGACTATTGGGGATTTCTTTTGACTCTTTCTTTTAACCACAAATATTTCACTATCTCTTTCATGCTTCATACTTATTAGCCAGAAAAACAACAAAAATAAAAACATTTCTGATTATGTCAGTCAGCAGTGATAGTAAGTAGTGGTACTTTTTTTCCCTCAAGAAAATATAGGGAAATAGGCAACAAATAAGTCTGCACCTAAATTTTTCAAAGGTAGCCCATAGTACTTTTGTAAAAAGAGCTTTCAAATTGTCTATGTAATAAAAAATGTTCAAAATGATTTGTAAACTGTCATCTAATCAAGATTATCCAGTGTAAAGAGAACTGCTGTTCGGTGTTGCTGAATTCACACAAAGGTCCCTTTCTTCTTTTTCTTCACACGCACCAAGCATCTCAGCAGGCACTCCAGAGCCCTCACCAAATGATGCACTGCCTACAGAGCAGCGAAAAAGTACCTAAGGGTCGCTCATAAAAAAAGGACAAAGATAACAAAGCTCAGTTTCAACTCCAATCAAAAAGGAGTTTCAAGACTCTTGCCAATATGTAAGATGAATACAGAGCATGCTTAGAGACTTTCCTTAGAGAAAGTCTGCTTCCAAATATACTTATTAATATCTGCTTGAAATTCAGTTTATATTGAAAATGGAAAGCATGATACACTTCCGTGCGTTACTAGCATCTACTATAGTGTTTATGTTCTCTATGATATCTATGGACACAACAATTTTACTTGTGAATAACATGAACTAGAAACCAAAGAGGTAGGTGACTATCATCAGAAAATGATCCCAAAACCACATGTGAAATAATATGCTTGAGTCCCAAATAAGTCCTTTAACTGAAAAATGAGTTGTAACACCATTACAACTGCCTTAAGAGCAGAATTTCCAGGTCTTCTGTGATGCCATCAACCTTCTAAAGTCCTACTTCCTGATACTGTGGCCCATGCTCTTCAGACACTCCGTGTTAGGAAATAGCTAAGGAAATAAAACCTAAAGAGGTAATACTAGAGACCAAGGAGTAAGGCTGGCGTCAGCTGGGCTCTTCGAAAATCTCCACTCTCACATTAAGGAAAGCACATCAGAGTTGGGCCAGATCTTACGTGTATCTAATCCAACTCTCTGGTTGTACCACTGAAGAAACAGTCTTATTTTCCCCACTGGTTCACAAAGCACTAAAATTCTGAAAAAAATGCTGTAAGTCCAAAACTGTTTATGGTTAATATACCTATTTCTAAAGCCCATGATGTAGCCAAGAGGCTCCACTTTGAGCCTTTATGGCCTTAGCCTGCAGCCCCATCCCTGTTGGCTGTTTTATAAAGTGTATCAGTAGTTACAGAGAGAAGTGGACCAAAGGGTCTGGATGCACCTAGCGGGGCAGATCATCTGCAAGAGAAACATAATTTGAAACCTCAGATATGCCCTGTTACGACTTGCTCTACACTCCACCCAGGGCTTACCTCTGCTTCTTTGTTGGAAACTCGTCCCTGAGCACATACACAACCTCCAGCTCTGCTATGGGCAAGCACTGGGCAACAACATTGTTCTGCCTTACAACATTTAGAAATGGCTAGACAACTAGAAACCTGCGAACCTTCAAGGCTGAGGGCTACAGACAGCTGTATTTAACTTCTCCATAATTATCAGTCATTCATTTTGTAATCCAAAAAAATCATCTCATAGCCTTATTTCCTCATAGCCTTATTTATCTAAGATTTTAAAGCTCCACTTTAAAAGGGCAGTTGCGAATGATTTTATTTTTATATTTTCCAGATTTTCTGTAATGGTTTCACATTTCTTTTAGTAATTAAAAAATGATGCAATTTTTAAAAGATTTTAGTCTAAAAAAATTAAAGGATATGCAAAGTTTCCTCTTGACTATGAAACGTCTAAACCTGAATGATGTATCTGTGTGGCACAGTGAAACAGCACAGTCTCCAAAGATTTTTGAGATCCCAGCTCTATCACTAACCGTGGGCAGGACTTTAGTCTCTCTGAGACTTGCTTTCTTTATCTGTAAAAAAGAAGAAATAATACCTACCCCACAGGAAGCTGTGAGAATAAAATGATGCACAGTGCCTGGCAAATGGTAGGTGTTCAATAAATGGTAGGCCTTTCTCGCCGCTGGGCTCAGTGATAACCCTTGAGTAAAAGGAATCACCACAGCCTGCACTGGCCGCCCTCTTAACCGAATCCCATTTAAATTTGCAAGGGTGCTCTGTCGCCTCGACTTCACCCTATCGCTCTAAAGAATTGCAATTGTGCTTAGAAAAAGTTCTATACTTTTATGTTCTCTCCTTTAAAACTGTACATGCAGATAAAACATTTTAAAAACACTATCTTCCTAGAAATAACGCAATTCCTAAAGCACAACATGTCTTCTATAAAAACAATTCTGAAAAACATGATTTAGTTCATTGTTTCTTAAAGTGCACCAAAGTAAATATTAATGACCTTTAAAATGTCACTAACCCCCTCGGGTTGTATTTTTTTAAATAAAAGTAAATATTTATCTACTGAGATGTATGTGGTTTTTGGCTCCAACGTGATGGCAAAAAGCAGCAGTGTCTTCCAGAAAAAAAAAAATTAATAAACTCAACTAAGCATACCTTAGCAGCATACAGAACGCCTACATTTCAGTGTAGCTGCAGGCTCAGTATAACACAATCCTGATTCCTACTTCAAAAACAAAATTAATCAAAGAAAGAAAAAAGCATCTCCTCCCCCTAAATCTAGGATTTCTCTTGAACTCTGGAGGTTAACATCTATGATCACTTCCCTATTGTGTATCCTTGGTAACAGAGTTATAACTAGTCACTATTCTCCCTTTATACTGTACACACACACATAACAAACAAATCCTATATTTAAAAAATAATAAAGTATAAGTAGAGAAACCATGTGAAAGAAAAAAATTCAAAGTCAGATAAAGAACAACCATCATCCAAAATGTCAGGCAGTTCCAATTTTCACACCACCGTCCGATGTTCCCCACACACATAGACAGCACTGGGTCGTATCCGTCGCCTTGTGTGACCAGGGATCCGTGGCAAAAACTTGAAGGACTTGGGCATCATGTCTAGGCAGGCGTCATGGAATTTCTTAATCCTCCAGTAGTAAATCAGTGGGTTCAACGCAGACTTGAGGTAGCAGAGCCAAAGTAGCCAGGTGCTAATCTCAAAAAAGTTGTGCTTATAGTAAAAGTGCTTACTGAATGTTGCCACAAGGCTATAAGTGGTGAATGGGGCCCAACAGACAATGAAGACAGCAAAGAGAATCAAAATGGTGGTGAAGGCACGCGTTTTAAAGCCCATGTCAATGCTCATCTGGAAGGGTCTCTGTAGACTCATGAGACCCAGTTTGCTGGCCTGGCTGAGGCATATACCCTCAGGGTAGCTATGGATCCTCAAGGCGTTGTGCCGAAGGGTGTTAAGTATGCCCATAAATGAATACAGTATCACCAGGAAGGGTATGAAGAAAGAAATGAGAGAAATCAAAATCACATACGCTTGGTAACCCGGATGAGTTGTGTACCCAAACACACACTGGGGGGCTCGGGAAGGTATCTGTAGGTCTGGGTTCCCTACAGCCAAAGGAAAAGCAACACAAAAGGAAGTCGCCCAAGAAACTGCTATCAGAATCTTAGCTCTGTATGGATTCAACTTATCCTGCCTCTGGACTATAATAAGGAACCTATCGATGCTAATGATGAGCAGGATGGCTACTCCCTCTATCACAAACAACCAGAAAAACATGGCAGATACCCTACAGAAGAACTTCCCAAAAATCCACCTGGTAGTAAGAATAGTTACCAAGGCAAAGGGCATGTTCAGCACTGCAAGCAACATGTCTGCAAACGCCAGGCTGGCAAGGAGGATGTTAATGGCAGATCGCATGGCAGCTTTTTGGTAAACCATGAGGCAAACCACCAAGTTCCCAAGAAAAGACACAAACAGAATAAATATCATTATAGCAGAAAGGATGATCTGGAGAGGCAAGTTTAGGCTCTTATAAACTGCTGGTGTCGGGGGTACAGCTGTGCTATTCACTGTCATGGGGCTCATCCCAGTGGGAGCCATGGTTTCAAAACTGTATCTAAGCAGCAGAGCAACTCCCGGATGCTGCAACGGTGGAGGGACCGTGATATTCATGTACGTGTTTTCATAGACTACAAACGTTGTGTTGGTGGCCCCCGTATGGGACGCAGTCAACACCGCGGAGAAGACCATGCTTTCCGTAGGATGGAAGGTGCCAGCAAATAAGTAGATGTTCTTCAAGCATATCAACACAGAGCAGCAGTATCATATTTCATTGATGGGCTTGGAAACACACTCTGGAAAACAGACGAGTTCCATCTTCCACGGGAGTCCTTTCTCCTGAAAACAAGCCCCAAACACAAAAGTGAATGAGAAATGAGCTTTGTAAATAACACTTGACTTCTTACCTTTCATCATGAAGGATAGGTTAGTTTTTTTTTAACCCTTTAAAAATATTTAAGTCTCTAACCTTGTCAGCACTAAAATAGTGTTGTTCTGTTATTTTTAGTCAACCATGATGGAAATTTCATGACATTCAAAAATGAAGTGAAAGTGAAAAAAAATCAAAATGGATAACTGCTTCAAAGTCAAAAGTTAGAACCTTATTTTGAAATTTTCTTTTAAATTTCTAGTAGCAGCATGGCCTTTCCATAGCCACTGTTAATACACATTTTATTATGTGGTTCTCCTAAGAGTGCTGATATTTTTTTAATAGCATTCAGATACTGGTTCATATTCCATTTTAACTTTAGTATAAACCAGCTGACAAAAATCCCTGAACTCAGTTTCCTATTTAATACTTTTGTACTAACACCTGTATAAATAGGTACTAGGTTATTTTCTATGAAGGTCCAAAACAGTTTTTGGCTTTCTAATTTCTTTGTGTTTCTTTCCAGAAATCCAAATATCACCATACAATGTAATGATTAGATATTTGTATACACTGTGAAATGATCACCACAATAAGTCTAGTTAATATCTGTTACCATATAGAGCGAATTTTTTTATTATGATGAGAACTTTTAAGATCTACTCTCTCAGCAACTTTCAAGTATGCAACACAATATATAAACTATAGTGACTATGCTGTATATTACAACCCCATGGCTTAATAATTTTATAAATGAAAGTCTGTACCTTTTTTACCCACCTTGACCCATTCTGCCCATACCATTTCTCTCCACCTCTATTCTCTGAATCTATAAGCTTAGTTATTTATTTTTTTGTATTTTAGATTCTACATATAAGTGAGATCATATTTTTTTTCTTTCTCTGTCTGATTTATTTCACTTAGCATAATATCCACCCAAGTTGTAGCAAATGGCAAGGTCTCATTTTTTTTATATGGCTGAATAATATTCCACATACATATACCATATTTTCTTTATCCATTTATCGATCGATGGACACTTAGGCTGTCTCCATATATTGGTTATTGTGAATAATGCTGCAATGAAAATGGGGGTGCAGATATCTTTTCAAGTTATTATTGTCATTTTTTTTTGGATAAATATTCAGAAGTGAAATTGGTAGATCATACTGTAGTTCTCGCTTTAATTTTTTGAAGAAACTTCATACTGTTTTCCATAGTGGCTCAGCAACACTGCATAAGCATTCCCTTTTCTCTACATAATCACCAATACCTATTTCCTGTCTTTTTTTTTTTGTTTATGGTGACATCGGTTAACGAAATCCAGTAAGTTTCAGGCGTACAATTCAATAGTAAGGCATATATATACATTGCATTATGTGTTCCCTGCCCATAGTTAGATTTCTTTCTGTCACCACATATTTGACCTCTTCTACCTCAACTACCTCCCTATTTCTTGTCTTTTTGATAACACCATTGTAACAGGTGTGAGGTGATATTTCATTGTAGTTTTGATTTGTATTTCCCTGATGATTAGTGATGTTTAGCATCTCTTCATGTACCTGTTGGCCATCTATATGTCCTCTCTAGAAAAATGTCTTTTTAGATCCTCTGCCCATTTTTAATTGGATTGTTTGTTTGTTTTCCTACTGAGTTGTATGAGTTCTCCATATATTTGAATATTAACCCCTTTATCAGATACATGATTTATAAATAGTTTCTTTCTTCAGTAGGTTGCCTTTTCATTTTGTTGATGGAGACACTTTAAAATACTTAGTTTCCTTGAACAAGGTGAGAAACAAAAACAAAAAATGGAATAGAGAATATATATTATATAGATATTATATAGATAGATATTATATATATGTAATATTTTCTGCCATCAAAACTTCCCATTACTATAAAACCTTCTAACTCAATTTGTTCAATTATTCATTCATCAAATATTTATATTTATTCAGGAATGTAGTATGTGCCAGGCACCAGAGAGATATCAATGAACGAATGGTTCCTGGATTTCTGCTTAAACTGGGCAGACTGACCATAGACTCTGCATCTCAAAGTCACACTGAAATGACAATAAAGGGATTTTTTTTAAACAAAATGTACAACCCAAAAGGACAAGAGATATGAATGAAAGACACACCAACAGATAGCAATAAAAGCAAAATGCAGATGGTGGTATGATAACTAACTGAACATACCAGAAAAGAGAACTCTGTCCTCAATACTTCCAGGGAAATATGCTTAGAAGAAATTTACACGCCCTGTAGATCCCAGAGAAGCTTTGGATTGGGAAGTACCAGTTACTACAGAAAATGTGGGTCAGACTGACAACTGCAAAACTGACTGAAAAACTATATACAGAGGCTCTGGAAGCCTACTCCATGCCCGGGTCTTCTCTCCTCAGAGTAATCACATGAAAGCACACACAGCCATTCCAATAGCCCAAGTCTGGCACAACTAAACCTGATAAGTACCGAACTTGAGAGTATCAGCACGAGGTTGAACACAGGGGGATTGAGTGAATGAATATCTGCATATTCAACATGAAAACCTAGTCCCTTCCTCCACCGTGTTTCCAGACTGCCGGCAGTCAGGCATATGCTACCCACATACGACTGAAGGCATTGTCTTTTGCAGTAACTGAAAAGCCCTAGAGGAAAAATTCTAGATATTAATGTTTGATGGCACCCAAGAAAAATGCCAACTTAGTGCCCAGTCACCCAGCCTACCATCAAGCATAACCTGTGCACACAGATCTTCTACTCAGCTTTTTGGTACCTATTAAATACAAATGCTCAATTTCCCTATTATATAAAGAATCTACAGAGGAATCAAACAAAGACAATTTTGTAGTTAAACATTACAGAAAAGAACCAGAATTTATAATATTAGGGGACACAGCATGCATATGTCCCCTAATATTAATAATGCCTTTGCTCTGGCATATGTACCATGCTTTTCATTCATTGTACTCCTGGCTCACCAGATGTAAGTATTCTTTGTCCTTCTTCCTCTTCTTACTGAGAAGCATAATAACCACAGCAATACTTTTGAATGCTCATAGTAACTATGTTAAAAGAAGATCCTCTCCTCTCAGGACTTCTCATAAAATACCACTGTGACCTGAAGTATATATATATATGTGTGTGTATATATATGTATATACACACTCCACATGTGTACATGTAAAGCTCACATATGGCAGAAGTAATTGGTGTCATGTTTTTTTCTCTCTTCTTATAGCATCTACAGAAATAACATTGGATTAATTAGGTTAATGATGTAAGTGTTTTATGTTTAGAGTATGCCAGAATATTACAATTACTCGGGTGTCAATGGCTAGGATGGGCAGTGGAGGCTGCAGTATTTATTCTCTTAGTCTTTGTCCTTTATTTTTATCTGCTACCATAGTGCTTTAGATACTTGTTTTATTCTCAGAAATGATTATATTCACCTAGAAGGCAGGGATTAATTACTCTATTGTCCTCTATGACTACTATGCTTTGCATACAAAAAGTAAATATTAAGTAAATTAAATTCATTTCCATTATGTTTTGTGAGATCAAAGAATTTATTCCTTATTCATTTTAATCTTTATTTATATGATACATGCATATAATTTTAAAATAATCAAATGAATTTTAAAATGACAGTCAAACCCTGTACCACCCTTCACCCTTCCATTCTTGTTTTCTGAGGTTGCCATATTTATTTTAAAGGCTCTTTTTCAAGTACTTATTCTTTATATATCTAAATAACATGCAGAAATTACTACTTTTTGATTTATCAATATATTAACTCCTGATTTCGTATAAGAATAGAGGGAGCTGTCACAGCACCTCCACCTTATCTCTCTTCTTTTCATACTACCAAAACCTTTACTTGAAAATTTTGAAGTATAGTAGAAGTTAATGTTAACATTAATGTATTTATATAAATAGTATATCTGCTGATAAGCCAATAGAATATTTTCTTTCTTGTATAAATTTTGGATTTCCTAGAATTAATAATTTACCTTTTCAATTTTTAAAAATAACTATCAATAATTTTTTCACTTGCTCCATGAGATAGATTTTTATATCTACAAGTATAATATTCTGAAAAGTCAAATTTATCTACATTTTTATTTTGGAGTCACACCTTTTATTCTCCTGTCTCTCCCTAGAGTGTTTACTTCCTGGATCTGTTACAAAGAAGCCAGCCTGGGGCGCCCCATTACTACCATCCAGGAAATCCTCCCTTCTGACTTGGATTCTTGACTTCCATATTTCCTAGGCGCTTTACCTTTTACTCCAAAGCTTCCTTTTCCAGGAACAGTTTGTCCAGTTGCTTTTGAAGGAAGAACACAGGAGACTTAAATTTTAAGTCCCTGTTGTTAGAATAAGTCATTATTCTGACCATAGTAACTGTATTGGTTTAGAATTCTCAGTTGAAAGTAATTTTCTCTGATAATTTTGAAGGTGTTGTTCTACATCATTGGTTCTCAAAGTTGAGGGCACATAAGAATTACCTAGAGCACCTATTAAAATACAGACCGCTGGAACCCACACCCTGAGTCTGTAGTGTGGGGTGGGCCCCAGAATTTGCATTTCTGGAGAGAAAAAGTAGGTAAATTGAGACTTTAAATTCCAAACTCAAGGATTAGATGAAGAATTAGAAAACTTCTTTAACTACACTGTGAAAGGAGAAACTTTTATCTCCTACAGCTCCAGAGATGAGATTTCTGAAAACTAAACCCAAGTCTAATCCTGGGGGTGGCTGTATTACAATGCAAATTAGATTCTCAGCCTTACAGAGACTCTTCTCTTATAGTTAGGGCATTGATTGGGAGAGTAAGGGCCCGAAAATTTGGATGGGGACTTATGTGGATTCTGATGAAGCTCTGGACCTTGTTTTGCAGAGTGTTCCGTGCTAATTGAAATAGCCTTTCTACCCTATCGAATAAGGTTAGTTTCTCTTTGCC